AACATAAACTATTTATGCAAATATCTTTAACATTTCGTAGGAAAGCATTTCTGTTTTAGAACATCGCGGCATCAAAGATTTATTGACTTTATAAGGTGCTAGCACCCCTGTCGACCATACTTTCTTAATTTCGTTGAAAACCGTATCTAAATTCCCTATGTTCTATTAAGGAATGACTTTTTTAATGTCATTCCATAAGTGCGCAATGGGATTTAGTTCTCCTGAACTAAATTACGGCTGTTTGGGCCTGTAAGCAAGATAATGACCCAAAACATTCGGCGCGTCTAACGAAATAATTTTTAGACACAAGTTCTGTTAGGGTTTTTCAATAGCCATCTCTGCAACCCAATGTATATATATTCTTTATCAGCATGACGAGACGAGTCGATCTAGCCCTGTGTGTCTGTCTGTCCGTATGAACACCTGGATCTCAGAGACTATAAGAGGTAGAGACACCAAACTTTGCACAAAGATGCGTTATGTGTGTACGCTGTGCAAGTTTGTTTTATATTTTTGATTTTCCCCTTCATTTCCCCCCTATGGGGGTATTCCCAATTTTCCATTCTTATAATCGCCTATATCTCGGAGACTATAAGACCTACGTACACCATATTTTAGTCCCACATGCCTTATGTGAATACGCAGAAAGTGTGTATTTTGGAATTTCCCTCTCTCCCCCCCCTCCCATGCAAATCGTAATCCCGTAATTCTTGGAATTTCGAATTCAAATTTTGCAAATACCCAGCTATGTGTCCGTATGCCACGTTTCATCATGATAGACCGATTTAACAAGAAGTTATAGCCATAAATATATTTGCTGCTGCAGTGCTGCTCAAGCGCTGCCCGCGGCTGTTTTTGATGCTGGTGCTTGGGTTGACTGCGAACATGCTTACACAGACACGAATATATGAGCATAAGCATACATACACTCACATAGATGCAATTGCTTTGTATATGTGCAATTATACAGCCTTTACGTGAGTACAAATACCAAAAGAGGTAAAATCGATCAAAAAAATAATTTTTTATTCTCTTTTTTTAATTTCTTTAATTATTCTAAACATATGTGCAGAGTATTTCAAAGTCGGGACACCCGACATAAATTTTTTACTTGTTTTATTCGCCTATGCTATCAAAATATCCCTCAATATATCCACTTACTTCTCCCATGTCAGAAATCTCTCGATGCGGAATATATGACCAACTCCGTTCCATGAGAAACACTGTTAAATATTTATTTTGTCTGGACCATACTTGACGACAGTTGACACACATTTAGGATTAAGTTTTAATACTTTTTGGCTTCGCATTTATTTTCTACCATAAAGACCAAATCGGTCAATCATTATTTCAGCAGTTCGTACTATGTTTTTCCATTTGTTGAGAGTTCAATCAACATGGGTTTTAGCGTCGTCGTTTTTACGTAATTGTCACCTTTTGTTTGATGCGTAAGTTTCGCTAATGGACCACTGCCTCAAGCAAACGACCAGCGACAGTTCCTTCAGATGTTGTTGCATCGTTTTGATACCACAGTTTAAGCTGGATGTCTACAAATCGCCTACGGAGATCCAAATTACCCATTCATACTATCCGAACGTTTCGAAGTTTGACAAGATATTTCTATTGCTTCTTTTATTTTTCGGTATTGGTTAAAAACAGTAAAAACAATTTTCCTACATCAAAATATTTGAGTTGCAATAGCCTGAATCGTCATACCATTCTTTTGAAGTTTAAGGATTGATTTGTTCATGAATGGCGTACAACTTCTGTCATTACCCATGATTGAGAACCTTTTAATAATCGAATTGAATAAAAATGTGTTCTAACAAGCAAAAACAACGAAAACTCACTTTAGTTTTGAAAAAATATTTAAAAAAAATCGAAAAGTACCGGACATCGAATTTTTATGAAGATGCATCTAAGGATGGTTTTGGGGCAGCGTTGCTACGACGATTTGGCTACGAGCTTCACCCAATATTTTTTTGGAGTAAGAAGACGATACTTAGTGATTCCAAATGCCCTAGCTATATACTTGAGGTGAAGGCTGCTTATCTGGCGATCCAGAAATTTAGACACTACCTGCTGGGCAATACCTTTAAGTTCGTCACAGATTGCGCTGCATTTACCCAAACTGTACAGAAAAAGGATATACCTCGTGAAGTTGCCCAATGGATTCTAGTACTTCGGGATTATTCCTTTGTGGTTGAACATCGTAGTGCAGATCTATTGAAGCATGTTGGTTTCTTAAGTCGTCTCTCGAACGTATTCGTTGTTGGATCTGAAGTTGCAGCGCGCCTAAAACACGAGCTGCGAAAATATAGCTTCGTTAATGCAGTGTTGACCATTTTCAAAGACTATCCGTATCAAGGTTTTAAGATGAAAGGAGATATTCTTTATAAGTACGTGAATGGCCTTGATCTTCTCGTGGTCCCCAAATCAATTGAAGCAACAGTTTTATATCCCACACCTAAAACGTAAGCTGGCACAAATCATTTCGGCCTGCATAAAATGCATCATGAGATTCTGAGAACTTGGCAAGCAGGAGCGATATCTTTATTGCATAGACAAATGCAGTTGTCCCTTACAATCTCTATACGTCGATCATTTAGGCCCAATGGACTCCAGGGCAAAACAGTATAAGTTTATATTTACCATGATTGAAGGGTTCTAGAAGTTTGTATGGATCTATACGACAAAATCCACTGCTGCTGAAGAAGGCATAAAAAAGCTGGAGGAATGGTCGAGCGTTTTTGGGCTGGAAAATGGAAATAAACAGAGTCCATAGTTAGCAAGCTTTCTGCAGACGATACTTTGAAATGGTATAAGTTCGTCCCACAAGTTCAAAAGGCAATCAACTCCCATATTCATGTGTCCACACAAAAATCGTCGTTTGAAATAATGCTTGAAACCAAAGAGCACAGCAAGATCTCCGACGATTTGCAGCTGCGTTGGAACACGAAATGATAGATGACTTCAATAGGGCAAGACAAGAAACTCGTCAAGAAGCCCGCAAAGGCGATCGCGTTTATAATGAAAGAGACGTAGTTGCTGTGAAACGAACGCAGTTCATCGGAGGCAGAAAGCTGGTTAGCTCGGTTCTAAGACCATAAGAAGCGGTTAAAGTCAAACGGATCGGACGATATAAGGTAAAAAAGCTGCCCAAATCGAAGGCCCAAACGTAACATCAACTTGCGCAGAGATTTTAAACTTTGAAAATACGTTGAATGGAATCAAGATGAGCAGGATAACCGAATGTAAACAGGCGATATACAGCGGAATTGGAAGTCCTGCCTCTCCTAGTTCGTTCACTTGCAGTTGTAGTTCAGCAGTCATCAGTCGCAGATTTAGTTCAGCAATCATCAGTCGCAGTTGCAGTCATACGTCCCGGTTGTAGATCCGCAGTCAGTCGTTGCCGTCGTTGTAGTTGTATATCCAAATACATGTTTAATACTAAATTATTAAACATTGTAACAAACTCACTGAATAAAGAATTTACATTTATGCTGACATTTTATTATTTCACGGTATTATTTACTCTCCACAAAAAATGAAAATTAAAAAAAAAAAAATTATTAAAAAAAATTGAATTAAATAATTAAATTAATAAAGAAAATTTATTTAATACATACATAGAAGACATGTTTATGCACAGTTTTAACAGCATACATTTACATCATCGTGTCTATGCGTGTATGTATGCAGCACAAAGTTGAACCGAAGCAGCAACAACAACAACAGCTGCGGGCAGAGCTGCAGGCAGCACACGGACACATAAGTATTAACTGGATGTAACTACTAAAATTGATTTCAAAATTCCAAGAATTACGGAATTTATAAAAAAAAAACGACGAATAGCGCGGGAGTGGGGGGGTGTATCAGAATAAAAAAAAATAATCTTGACCTGCCTAGGACCTAGGGGAACCTCGATACCAAGTTTGGTTATTCTGCAAGGTGCTTTCGAAAGTAAACAGGACTTTTTGAATCTAGCGCCCCCTGGTGGCGCTATCTATATGTCGACTGGTGCGTTAGAATCTGCTATCTTTATCGATTGTCCAGTGAGAATTTCATGACATTTCATCAATTATAAGTGATGTTATTGCGTTTTAAGTGTCAGTATGTTTGTGTTATCGGTGCGAAAATGAGCTTCAAACAAAGAGTCAGCATTAAATTTTGTTTTAAAATTGGTAAAACTTTTACCGAAACGTTTCAATTGATGGAACAAGTTTATGGCGATGATTGCCTATCCCGTAGAAGAGTGCACGAGTGATTTAAACGTTTTCAAAGTGGTCATGAGGACATAAATGACGATCAACATGTGGGCCAATCAAAATTCGTGATCACCGAAAATTCCATCGAAACTGTGCGTGAATTCATCAAAAATCAGCCGAAATCATCGATGCAATTGATGGAAATGGAATTGAACATCTCCAAAACACCGATTTATCGCATTTTGACCGAACATTTGGGCTTACGAAAGGTGTGTGCACGGTTTGTTCCGCACAAATTGACTGACGACCAAAAATTGCTCAGAATCCAATATTCGATCGACGCTTGTGACCGATTATTTGACCAAAAATCACATTTTAACCAATAACCACTCACCGTATTCACCTGATATGGCACCGTGCGACTTCTACCTTTTCGGAAAAATGCATTTGCCCATGAAAGGAAAGCGTTATGCAGACGTAGAGGCCATTCAAAAGGCTTGCACCGGCATGCTGTCGGCCATACCGGCCAACGAACTAAAACACTCGTTCGACATGCTTTTGGATCGTGCAAAAAGCTATATTGAAGCAGAAGGAGACTATTTTGAATAAAATAAATTGATTTTGCCAAAAAAAACCATTTGTTCTGTTTTTTTTTTAAGTCCTGTTTACTTTGGAACACACCTTGTATAAGCCTTTTACCTATTAAGCTTTTTACCTTTTACCTAAGCCTTTTATATAAAATTGTGTTATTTGCATTTGTTATTGCTTATTAAATTCCATTTTTATTTGCAGGGTGCTGGATGTCTAAGCTATAATATCGTACCAGAGAAAAATAATCTCAACCTTTTAAATGTTGCTGTAAATTTATTCTGGAAGACGCTTGAGTATGAATCACAAGAAAAAGTTATATGTTGTACTTTAGAAATGTTTGCATTGTGGACAGGAAAGTTTACCACAGAGATTCCCAATGTGCTTATTAAGATATTTAAAATGGGTCTCGACCAAAAAAATGCTAGTCAGGCAATTCGACAGGCTTATCTTGAATGGTTACTTTCTTCTATACAAAATGCGGAAATGAACAAGGACAGTGATGTTGTGCCAGCTTTAATATCTTTGTATGTAAATGCTCTACAAAGCTCAACCCAACTATCACAAATTTCGGAAGCTGCTTGTATTGCATGTATATTATTAATACTAGAGAATCCAACTGAAAAATACTCCATCTTTTGGAGTTCTTTATTTGATATGAATAAGTTGCTTTTCTTTGGTGAAAAATTCTTAATGGCAGGAACACCCGAAACACTATGCCACATTTCTTTGATAGCCAAATTTCTATTAACATCATATGCAGATAAATTGAAGGGACCAATAGAACCATTATACCGTACACTCATATTAAACATGTGTAACAACTCGTGGAAAGTACGTGAATATACAATAAATCAGGTTACACAAATTATATCAGGCGCTGAAGGTGTAGCTTTTGTAAAACTTGCTCTCAATGAATATAAAACCCATATAAATATGTCTAAGATTAGTTATGACACAGATATCCCAATTGATCAGTCCTATATTCCATCTCATATTTTTGTAACAGCTCTCCAAACTTTATGTAAATTATCAAATGTTCCTTATGAAGATGCTGTAGAACTAGCTATGCTGCTCTTATACGTTGCTCATCATCCTGCAATAGTTAATACTAACCATAAATTCTGGGAAACAGCTCTTCAAGATAATTTTGGGTTAGATATTGAACATTTTATTTCCACTAATATAAATAGTATAAAAGATATATTCATTGATAATTTCAACGTTTGTGCAGTGTATGAAAATACAATTTCAACATTAGCTCGCCTAAGTCCTAATGTGGTTTTGCCTATTATTATTATGCGAACTAAATTACATCTTGATGATCACAGCAATGTCCATGTCTCCGAAGACGAATATCGTACATATTTGACACCAGACGGAGAATTATATGACAAAAGCGTAATACCAAATATTGAGTCGCAATATGTAACTGTTGGTGTGCGAAGAGAGAATAAAGTGTATAGTTATAAGGAACAAATGGAAGAAATACAGCTCCGACGGGAAATTGATGAAAAACGTCAAAAAGAAGGAAAATCGAAAACCATTAGGCTCACACAGAAACAACAAGAGTTGATTAAAAATCAAACAGAGAAAGAGTTTCGCATTAAATATCGCATTAATCAATTGAGAGAAAAACTAATGGGAATCATAAGCTTATTTAAATCTGCGTGCGTTGGAAATGGAAAATGTGTTGCTTTACATTTCCAAAATATATTACATTCGATTCTTAGAGCTTCAAAAAGTCCACTGTCTGCTGAAGTTCTAACCGAACTATACTATTTTCTACATAAAATGTGCTTTCATAATCAAAAAGACTTATGCAGTGAAATTTCGATTGCTACAATAAGGCTTCAGAACCCATCCTGTGATTTAAAAAAGGAATGGCTTGCAAGAAACTTGGACGAAAGTATTGCTGAAATTATATCAGCTCTAAACAAATACGTAGATAATAGTTCAAATTCTAATGAGCAAGAAACGTTTGCCAACCTTCTTGATGCGCCGTCATTTTCGTATGCATTCGAATTTGTTCAACGCGCTATTACTCATTTAAATATTGCTACAAATGAAGACATTGTTTTAATGGGAATACATTTTATTGAAAGTCATGCTCAATTAAAAAAAAATTCGACTGCTGACAAGTATGATCTTAATTCAATGCCAAGATATGGAATGTTTAAAATATTATTTTATTTGATAAGAAATTGTAAAGGAAGTGTTCAGACTCAGGCAGGATGCGCACTCTTAGATGTTGCGACAATTTCTTCCGGAGTTAATTCCAGTTCTGGACCTGATCATAAAACTATTGAACTATTTTTGAAAGCTTTACAAAATGAATCGGAGGCTGTTAGGGATATAACATTACGTGCGTTAAAAATAATGGTTTCTATAATTATTAATGATCTAGAGCCTGACAGTGACTTGCATAAAAGAATTGTTGCTAGCTTTTGGATTGCAAAATTTGACGTGTGTCATGAAAATCAAAGATTAGCAATTGACCTTTGGAATGCAACGAACTTTTCATATCCAGAATTCGACAGAATTATTTGTAACATTACACACTCAGAACTCTGTATTCAAAAAGCTTCTGCGGCGTCTCTAGCACCATTGATAGTGAGTGATAATAAGTTAATTATACACGCCTTGAAACAAATGCTAACAATTTACAACGAGAAGCTGATAATGATTCCTCCTAAATTGGATCAGTTTGAGCGAGAAATTGAACCTGCTGTTGATCAGTGGAAGCCACGAAGAGGCGTTGCAATTGCAATTTTAAATATTGGCGAATTTTTATCTATTGAAGACATAAACAATGTAATGCAGTTTATGGTGTCTCAAGGACTTGGCGATCGTAATGAAGTTGTACACAAGGAAATGTTAGCTGCTGCTTTAAAAATAGTTGACATACATGGAAAAGAAACCATTGTTAGTTTATTACCTGTATTTGAAGGATTTCTGGATAAGGCGCCCAAATCACAAAGTTTTGACAACACACGACAAGCAGTTGTTATATTAATGGGATCCTTGGCGCGTCATTTCGAAAAACATGATAAACGAATTGAACCAATTGTTAAACGATTACTGGAAGCTTTGTCTACGCCATCTCAGCAAGTACAAGAAGCGGTTGCGAACTGTTTACCGCATCTTATGACCTCTGTAAAAGACGATGCTCCTGCGATAATAAAAAAGTTATTACACTCTTTAACGAAGTCTGAAAAATATGGCGAGAGACGTGGCGCTGCATATGGTATAGCTGGAATTGTCAAAGGGCTTGGAATTTTATCGCTCAAACAGTTAGATATAATGTCCAAACTTACCATGTATATTCAAGAAAAGAAGAACTATAGATATCGCGAGGGTGCTCTTTTTGCGTTTGAAGTGTTATGTACTACTCTAGGACGTTTGTTTGAACCCTATATTGTTCATGTATTACCACACTTACTACAGTGTTTTGGTGATTCATCTCAATATGTTCGACAAGCTGCTGATGATACTGCAAGAGTTGTTATGGGAAAATTATCAGCTCATGGAGTAAAATTGGTGCTTCCATCTCTTCTAGACGCTCTTGATGAAGATTCTTGGCGCACAAAAACAGCTTCAGTTGAACTTTTGGGAGCTATGGCATTTTGTGCTCCAAAACAACTATCATCATGTTTGCCCAGCATCGTTCCAAAATTAATCGAAGTTCTTGGCGACTCTCACACAAAAGTGCAAGAAGCTGGTGCTGATGCTCTAAGAGTAATAGGATCGGTTATAAAAAATCCAGAAATACAAGCACTAGTTCCGGTTTTATTAAGGGCATTAGAAGATCCCTCTAACAACACTTCAGCTTGTCTTCAGTCATTGTTAAAAACTAAATTTGTTCACTTTATTGATGCGCCTTCTTTGGCTCTAATTATGCCAGTTGTTCAAAGAGCATTTATGGATCGATCTACGGAGACAAGAAAAATGGCTGCACAAATTATTGGAAATATGTATTCTCTAACAGATCAAAAAGACTTAACTCCTTATCTTCCAAACATAATACCTGGTTTAAAGTCATCATTGCTCGACCCAGTTCCTGATGTAAGGGCTGTATCTGCCCGTGCTTTAGGTGCCATGGTTAAAGGCATGGGTGAGACTTCATTCGAAGACTTACTTCCATGGTTGATGGAAACTTTAACATCAGAGTCAAGTAGTGTTGATCGCAGTGGTGCAGCGCAAGGACTTTCTGAAGTAGTTGGAGGTCTTGGAGTTGAAAAAATGCACAAACTTATGCCAGAAATAATTGCCACAGCAGAAAGAAATGATATTGCACCGCATGTAAAAGACGGATATATAATGATGTTTATATATATGCCTGGTGCTTTTCCAGATGAATTTACACCGTATATCGGCCAAATCATTAATCCAATACTAAAAGCATTAGCAGACGAAAGTGAATATGTACGTGATACAGCACTCAAAGCAGGTCAACGAATTGTCAACTTATATGCAGAATCAGCAGTTGCTCTTCTACTTCCAGAGCTTGAAAAGGGTTTATTTCATGACAATTGGCGAATAAGATATAGTTCAGTGCAACTACTGGGAGACTTGCTATATCGCATATCTGGAGTGTCCGGAAAAATGACTACAGAAACCGCTAGTGAGGATGACAACTTTGGTACAGAGCAGTCACATACAGCAATAATTCGGTTCCTGGGTGATGAACGTAGAAACCGAGTTTTGTCAGGACTTTACATGGGGCGTAGTGATGTGTCTTTAATGGTAAGACAAGCAGCTTTACATGTATGGAAAGTTGTTGTTACCAATACTCCCAGAACTTTGCGGGAAATTTTGCCGACTCTATTTGGATTGTTACTAGGCTGTTTGGCTAGTACGAGCTACGATAAACGGCAAGTTGCAGCTCGTACTTTAGGTGATTTAGTACGCAAACTAGGTGAAAGAGTATTGCCTGAAATAATACCTATACTTGAAAAGGGATTAGATTCAAACCACTCTGATCAAAGACAAGGCGTTTGTATTGGTTTGTCAGAGATAATGGCATCTACCTCAAAGGAAATGGTTCTCACATTTGTTCATAGTTTGGTTCCGACTGTACGTAAAGCCTTGTCGGATCCTTTACCTGAAGTAAGAGAAGCAGCAGCTAAAACATTTGAATCTTTACACAGTACAGTTGGTCATCGGGCCCTTGATGATATCCTTCCTTTTATGTTAGAAGAACTATCCAATCCCGATCCTTTAGTGGCTGAAAACACTTTAGATGGATTGCGGCAAGTTATGACTATCAAATCTAAAGTTGTGCTGCCGTACCTCGTGCCGCAATTAACGTCACCACCAGTAAATACAAAAGCTCTCTCCATTTTAGTCTCAGTGGCTGGTGAAGCCTTAACCAAATATTTGCCTAAAATATTATCGGCATTGCTAGAAGCTTTATCACAGTCCCAAGGTACGGTTAATGAACATCGCGAGCTCGAATATTGTCAAACTGTTATATTATCAGTCACCGATGAAGTGGGCATTAGAACAATTATGGACATATTAATGAGTTCTGCGAGAAATGATAATTTGAGCACGCGGAAATCTTCAGCAAATTTGCTTTGTGCTTTCTGTATTCATTCGCCGGGAGACTATTCACAATATGTTCCTCAACTTCTTCGGTGCTTGCTAAGATTAATGGCTGAGAATGACAAAGATATTTTACAAAAGTCTTGGGAGGCACTAAACGCAGTGATAAAAGGATTGAATCCAACTCAACAAATTGCCCACGTAGCTGATGTTCGACAAGCTGTTAGATTTGCTGCTAGTGAATTAAAAGAGTCTGAACTTCCAGGCTTTTGTTTACCTAAGGGAATAACTCCCTTATTACCCGTTTTTCGGGAGGCTATTTTAAATGGTTTGCCCGATGAAAAAGAAAATGCAGCTCAAGGTCTTGGTGAGGTGATTTTTTTAACAAGTACTCAATCCTTACAACCATCTGTTGTACATATTACTGGTCCACTGATTCGGATATTAGGGGACCGGTTCAACTCTGGAGTAAAGGCTGCAGTTTTAGAAACATTAGCAATTTTGCTTCATAAAGTTGGTGTCCTATTAAAACAATTTTTACCTCAGCTCCAAACAACATTTCTGAAGGCGTTGCATGACCAAAATAGAAATGTCCGCATGAAAGCAGGACGCGCACTATCTGAACTGGTAGCTATACACTCGAGAGCCGATCCTTTGTTTAATGATATTCACAATGGTATTAAAAACTCTGATGAATCTGCAGTACGAGAAACAATGCTACATGCCCTTCGTAGTATACTTGGCCCTTCTGGAGAAAAAATGTCTCAAGTAATAAAAAAACAAATCTTAGTTACCTTGCTCTGCTTGGTTAGCCACCAAGAAGATGTTACTCGAAATGCTGCAGGCGGATGTTTAGGAGCAATGTTAAAATACTTGCTACCTGAGCAAATTAATGAATTGCTCAATAATCACATTTTTACGGAAGATTCTGAAGATTATCTTCTAAAACATGGTCGCACAGTAGTTATTTTTGTTGCACTCAAAGAAAGTCCAAAAGAAATACTTTCATCACTTTTTTATGATAAGGTAAAAACTTACATTTTAAATAATATTACATCTGAGAAAGTCCCAATTGCTTGTAATGCAATAAGAGCAGCAACATACTTTTTGGAATATAGCCTAAAAAATGAAAATGAAACCCCTAATAATATTATTGTAGCACTTGCTAGAGCAATGAATCATAGTAGCAATGATGTAAAACAATTAGTAGCAAAAAGTTGCAGTCATTTGTCAAAAAATTTAACGGCTTATCAAATAAATCTTGATGTAATGAAATATTTAATACCCATGTTAGTTAACGGCACCAAAGAAAAGAATGGATACGTAAAATCGAATTCAGAATTGGCTCTGATTTCTTTGTTAAGATTAAGAACTGATGATACAACTTATATAAAGACTTCTGAAGCTTTAGAATCTGGAGCTAAAGATTCATTAAATGAAGTTATTATGAAAATTTCAAAAAAAGTGGTTGTACAATCAGTTATTAAAGAAGAAGAGTTAGATGATACATTGCTGACATGATTACATTTTCTAAGGTAAACATTATTTTCTAATATCGTACATGCGTAAGACTATATTAAATAATGATGTATCACAAACAAAACGAAACTAAAAAATATATAATATACAATAAAGAAACTTATTTGTATAATATTTCATTTGTATTGTGTTAAGTCATCTCACGCACGTAATTGGCCATCAAAGCAGACCTAATCTGACTGCGGATTGATTTCACCGCTTCTGGTCCTATTTTCAGATCATTAACACTCGATCTTATTGCGTTGAGTATCTACTCCTTGGAGGCCAGCTCATCCAGGTCACGGATATCCAATCACTACCTGCGCAAAGTCTGTGGCTGGGTGTCAGGGACCAGATCCCGCGGTCTTTGCAGTGCGATTGCGATCGTTGGTCGTGTGTTTTAGGATTTTTGGTGGCGTGATTGGCGTTGGTTGTTCTTGGGGTCTCTGAGCCTTTTAGGGGTGCCCATTTTGGGGTGGTTAGATGGTTTTGGCCAGGGCTTCTTTCCATTGCTTGACCACTCCAGCTTGCTGCATATCGAGCTGTTATGTGTGTATGTGTTTTTTTTATACGAGAGGTTTGCGAGAGGCAAACAGGCAAAAGGAGGCATTGCAGACCTCACAATGTACAATATACTTGTATAGATTTTTGATCAGCATGACAAGACGAGTCGATCTATGCCTGTCTGTCTGTCCGTATGAATACCTAAATCTATATATGTATATAAAACAGTTTGTCCTGACTGATTGACTGACTGACTGATTGGTGATCAACGCACAGCCCTAACGGTAAAGGCTAGGAAGCTGAAATTTGGACTCAAGTATCCTTTCATAGTCTAGGTGCCCACTAAGAAGGGATTTTGGAAAACTCCAGCTCCAAAGGGGGGAAAACAGGCTCCAACGTTTGTATGAAAAATCTACAGTTTTCATCTGATTAACTTCAAACTTAGTTTGTATACTCTCAGAACTCTCAGAAAAACTGTATACTTGGTTTTTTGATATTTTTTTGGGGCCTAAAATATGGGAGTTTTCCTGTAAAAAAATATTGGGGCACAAAAGCAAACCGCGTCAACAGCCCACAGCCCACACGGTAAAAGCTAGGATGCTGAAATTTGGGCTCAAGTATCCTATCATGGTGTAGATGCGCACTAAGAAGGGATTTTGGAAAATTCGAGCTCCAAAGTTTGTTTGAAAAATCCGCATTTTTTAGCCGATCGACATAAAACAAATTATTGGAAATATGTATTCTCTAACAGATCAAAAAGACTTAACTCCTTATCTTCCAAACATAATACCTGGTTTAAAGTCATCATTGCTCGACCCAGTTCCTGATGTAAGGGCTGTATCTGCCCGTGCTTTAGGTGCCATGGTTAAAGGCATGGGTGAGACTTCATTCGTAGACTTACTTCCATGGTTGATGGAAACTTTAACATCAGAGTCAAGTAGTGTTGATCGCAGTGGTGCAGCGCAAGGACTTTCTGAAGTAGTTGGAGGTCTTGGAGTTGAAAAAATGCACAAACTTATGCCAGAAATAATTGCCACAGCAGAAAGAAATGATATTGCACCGCATGTAAAAGACGGATATATAATGATGTTTATATATATATGCCTGGTGCTTTTCCAGATGAATTTACACCGTATATCGGCCAAATCATTAATCCAATACTAAAAGCATTAGCAGACGAAAGTGAATATGTACGTGATACAGCACTCAAAGCAGGTCAACGAATTGTCAACTTATATGCAGAATCAGCAGTTGCTCTTCTACTTCCAGAGCTTGAAAAGGGTTTATTTCATGACAATTGGCGAATAAGATATAGTTCAGTGCAACTACTGGGAGACTGGGAGACTATATCGCATATCTGGAGTGTCCGGAAAAATGACTACAGAAACCGCTAGTGAGGATGACAACTTTGGTACAGAGCAGTCACATACAGCAATAATTCGGTTCCTGGGTGATGAACGTAGAAACCGAGTTTTGTCAGGACTTTACATGGGGCGTAGTGATGTGTCTTTAATGGTAAGACAAGCAGCTTTACATGTGTGGAAAGTTGTTGTTACCAATACTCCCAGAACTTTGCGGGAAATTTTGCCGACTCTATTTGGATTGTTACTAGGCTGTTTGGCTAGTACGAGCTACGATAAACGGCAAGTTGCAGCTCGTACTTTAGGTGATTTAGTACGCAAACTAGGTGAAAGAGTATTGCCTGAAATAATACCTATACTTAAAAAGGGATTAGATTCAAACCACTCTGATCAAAGACAAGGCGTTTGTATTGGTTTGTCAGAGATAATGGCATCTACCTCAAAGGAAATGGTTCTCACATTTGTTCATAGTTTGGTTCCGACTGTACGTAAAGCCTTGTCGGATCCTTTACCTGAAGTAAGAGAAGCAGCAGCTAAAACATTTGAATCTTTACACAGTACAGTTGGTCTTCGGGCCCTTGATGATATCCTTCCTTTTATGTTAGAAGAACTATCCAATCCCGATCCTTTAGTGGCTGAAAACACTTTAGATGGATTGCGGCAAGTTATGACTATCAAATCTAAAGTTGTGCTGCCGTACCTCGTGCCGCAATTAACGTCACCATCAGTAAATACAAAAGCTCTCTCCATTTTAGTCTCAGTGGCTGGTGAAGCCTTAACCAAATATTTGCCTAAAATATTATCGGCATTGCTAGAAGCTTTATCACAGTCCCAAGGTACGGTTAATGAACATCGCGAGCTCGAATATTGTCAAACTGTTATATTATCAGTCACCTATGAAGTGGGCATTAGAACAATTATGGACATATTAATGAGTTCTGCGAGAAATGATAATTTGAGCACGCGGAAATCTTCAGCAAATTTGCTTTGTGCTTTCTGTATTCATTCGCCGGGAAACTATTCACAATATGTTCCTCAACTTCTTCGGTGCTTGCTAAGATTAATGGCTGAGAATGACAAAGATATTTTACAAAAGTCTTGGGAGGCACTAAACGCAGTGATAAAAGGATTGAATCCAACTCAACAAATTGCCCACGTAGCTGATGTTCGACAAGCTGTTAGATTTGCTGCTAGTGAATTAAAAGAGTCTGAACTTCCAGGCTTTTGTTTACCTAAGGGAATAACTCCCTGCCCGATGAAAAAGAAAATGCAGCTCAAGGTTTTGGTGAGGTGATTTTTTTAACAAGTACTCAATCCTTACAATCATCTGTTGTACATATTACTGGTCCACTGATTCTGATATTAGGGGACCGGTTCAACTCTGGAGTAAAGGCTGCAGTTTTAGAAACATTAGCAATTTTGCTTCATAAAGTTGGTGTCCTATTAAAACAATTTTTACCTCAGCTCCAAACAACATTTCTGAAGGCGTTGCATGACCAAAATAGAAATGTCCGCATGAAAGCAGGACGCGCACTATCTGAACTGGTAGCTATACACTCGAGAGCCGATCCTTTGTTTAATGATATTCACAATGGTATTAAAAACTCTGATGAATCTGCAGTACGAGAAACAATGCTACATGCCCTTCGTAGTATACTTGGCCCTTCTGGAGAAAAAATGTCTCAAGTAATAAACAAGAAAGGAATGCTAAAGTCGAGCAGGCTCAACTCTTAACTAAATTAATTTAATTAATTAACTAAATTAAATATAAAATATTCCATGCATGCATACATACATTTACATTTAAATCAGAATCGTGCCTTATGCGTGTTTGTGTACTTGTACATATGTATGTATGTGTGCATTGGGCCTGGTTATATGGCTATAACTTTCTTTCCGATCATTCTATCATAATGAAACTTGGTATACGGATATATAATTACTAATGTGACTACCAAATTTTAGTTCAAAATTCCAAAAATTACGGGAGTTATAGAAAATCGTTAATAGGGGGGGAGTGGGGGGGTGGATCAGAAAAAATGAACAAACTCGTCCTTTCTCGGTCTCAGGAAAATCTGTATACCAAGTTTGGTTATTCTAGCTCTTATACTTTCGGAAATCCTTGCGTTCATACAGACAGACAGACAGACGCACAGACGGACAGACAGACGGACATGGCTATATCGACTCGGCTTGTCATGCTGATCAAGAATATATATACTTTGTGGGGTCTACCAAGCCTCCTTCTGTGTGTTCCATGTGCACTCGCACAAAACTAATATACCCTTGTACCCTTTGAGTACAGGTTATAAAAAACAAATCTTAGTTACCTTGCTCTGCTTGGTTAGCCACTAAGAAGATGTTACTCGAAATGCTGCAGGCGGATGTTTAGGAGCAATGTTAAAATACTTGCTACCTGAGCAAATTAATGAATTGCTCAATAATCACATTTTTACGGAAGATTCTGAAGATTATCTTCTAAAACATGGTCGCACAGTAGTTATTTTTGTTGCACTCAAAGAAAGTCCAAAAGAAATACTTTCATCACTTTTTTATGATAAGGTAAAAACTTACATTTTAAATAATATTACATCTGAGAAAGTCCCAATTGCTTGTAATGCAATAAGAGCAGCAACATACTTTTTGGAATATAGCCTAAAAAATGAAAATGAAACCCCTAATAATATTATTGTAGCACTTGCTAGAGCAATGAATCATAGTAGCAATGATGTAAAACAATTAGTAGCAAAAAGTTGCAGTCATTTGTCAAAAAATTTAACGGCTTATCAAATAAATCTTGATGTAATGAAATATTTAATACCCATGTTAGCTAACGGCACCAAAGAAAAGAATGGATACGTAAAATCGAATTCAGAATTGGCTCTGATTTCTTTGTTAAGATTAAGAACTGACGATACAACTTATATAAAGACTTCTGAAGCTTTAGAATCTGGAGCTAAAGATTCATTAAATGAAGTTATTATGAAAATTTCAAAAAAAGTGGTTGTATAGTACAATCAGTTATTAAAGAAGAAGAGTTAGATGATACATTGCTGACATGATTACATTTTCTAAGGTTTCTAATATCGTACATGCGTAAGACTATATTAAATAATGATGTATCACAAACAAAACGAAACTAAAAAATATATAATATACAATAAAGAAACTTATTTGTATAATATTTCATTTGTATTGAGTTAAGTCATCTCACGCACGTAATTGGCCATCAAAGCAGACCTAATCTGACTGCGG